AGTTGAAGAGACTGGCAGGAATGTCTGAAAGGTAAACAAATTTATTCTGACACTCACCTTCATGAAAACTTTCTGGGCTAACAAGAGATGGTTTAACAGATCTGTGGTTAAGCTATGTTCGAAGGTTCCTATTTCTGCCATAGCACTCACATAACTACCCTGACGTAGCACTACTCCATCTGTAAATGAATCCATCTTTGTTGTAGCCGAAGTGGCTGAGTCTTGGATGTACTCCGCTGATATGTGTACTGGAGGAAGATCAATACAGGCTGAAGACGGTAGGTTAGCTTCAGATGGTGGGACCTGCAAAAAAATAAAAGATCACAGCTCATGGGCATAGAAAATTAGTTTTTGATGGATTTTGGTTTTGTAAACAAATCTTGCTGTTCTTATTACTTTGTTTTATTTATTTAACATCTTAATTGTTTTGTAGCTGTTACAGAAGTTCTGAGGTGAGTGCTATTTAATAAGTGCTTAATCACACAGAACATTAATTTGAGGATTTTATAATTCAACATTTTGTATTAAAGGTTTTTCCATTGTATAAGTGAATATATATAAAAGTACAAAATAGAGCAAGATTTAACTACCAAAATTGGACCACAAATAATTTGTACATAATATAGCATGTAGAAAAGAAATATGTAAAGTAGTTCCTGTCAAAACATATAAAATAGGGTCCATATGATGACAAATTAATATTGATTCTTATTTTAGTTGTGACTCTGACAGGATGACTGTGTGAAGATCATTTGTACAAAATATGAAGCATCACCATCTGTAAAAGTTCCTGAGGCAGAGAGCTTCTCATAGGCTGAAAACAAGGCAGTAAGAAACGTAGGTGGCTGAGGGGCTAAATGTAAACAGAAGTGTTGCTTTCTGAATAAGGATACAATTCCAACACTATATAGATGTTGCTTGTAGACTAGTACAAGGTCAACCATGGGTCATAACCCCAGCAGATGAAATATGTTGTATATTTGACTGGATGAAAAAGATCCTCTACATCAACCCATCTGTCTTTCTACATGGCCACATGAAAACTGGTAACACCTTCAGTAATATGAAAGAGGCTGCATTAAATAGGGCTCTACTGTATGTATAATGAACACTAATTAGTGTTGTGAAAAAGTCTCTTGAACGGAATATCATTGAAGCCATGTTCTTTTTATTTCCAGATGAATCGAAATTCAGCATACGATGTAATTCATGGTCTACACTCAATACTGTGATTCGACAAAGATATATAAAGACAGGACCCTTGATCTCTATGTTAGACAATATGAAAATGTTATAGGAGATAGCTTACTTTTTAATAGTGGATGATAATGTTTATCTAATCAGGGCACATGTTATCAGTCAATATCTGCAAGACCACAACATAATCTGTAAACAGTTGCTGGCAGGTATGTGTCGTTACCAATCTATGGTATGATATGTAATAGTTTCATACCTTGGTAGTGAAGCTCAGTGTCTGTTGTGGCAGGTCTATGGTATGATACGTAATAGTTTCATACCTCGGTAATGAAGTTCAGTGTGTGTTGTGGCAGATCTATGGTACGATATGTAATAGTTTCATACCTCGGTACTGAAGTTCAGTGTGTGTTGTGGCAGGTCTATGGTATGATATGTAATAGTTTCATACCTCGGTACCGAAGTTCAGTGTGTATTGTGGCAGGTCTATGGTATGATATCTAATAGTTTCATTCCTTGGTACCGAAGTTCAGTGTGTGTTGTGGCAGGTCTATGGTACGATACGTAATAGTTTCATACTGTGGTACTGAAGTTCACTGTGTGTGTGTTGTGGCAGGTCTATGGTATGATATGTAATAGTTTCATACCTCGGTACTGAAGTTCAGTGTGTGTTGTGGCAGATCTATGATATGATATGTAATAGTTTCATACTGTGGTACTGAAGTTCACTGTGTGTGTTGTGGCAGGTGTACGGTATGATATGTAATAGTTTCATACCTTGGTACTGAAGTTCAGTGTGTGTTGTGGCAGGTATATGGTATGATACGTAATAGTTTCATACCTTGGTACTGAAGTTCAGTGTGTGTTGTGGCAGGTCTATGGTACGATATGTAATAGTTTCATACCTCGGTACGAAGTTCAGTGTGTGTTGTGGCAGGTATATGGTATGATACGTAATAGTTTCATACCTTGGTACCGAAGTTCAGTGTGTGTTGTGGCAGGTCTATGGTACGATATGTAATTTTTCACACCTTGGTACTGAAGCTCAGTGTGTGTTGTGACAGGTCTATGGTACGATATGTAATATTTCATACCTTGGTACTGAAGCTCAGTGTGTGTTGTGGCAGGTCTATGGTAAATTTGGCTTTACTTCCAGTAACTCCCATACTGATGACCTGTCCCATCTATGGAAGAAAACAAACACACAATCTCACTTTTTGAAATAATGCTATCAGACATATGAAACATATTTCACAAATAATTACTGAATATTGTATAACCAAGTTTTAAAGTTTCTTACATGTACAATATTGACTCTGTGATTGTAAATAAAGAAAACCGATATAAAATGGTTCAAGGAAGAGACAGTTATAATCCTGTTTCAGTAGAGTATGTAAATTTTAAAGTATGAGTGTACACATATAAAATATTCCACTTGTGCAATCACAATTTTGAAGTGATCATACAAATAAACCAATTTTAATTTAATGCATGTATGATCTATACCTATTATTATTATAAACTCAGCATATAATGTGACATGTAAATGACCTTTGATTGTGACTTTTTTTTTAACATTTATACTGTATTTGATACTTTATTTCTACAAGGATAAAATGGGAAAGAAGGGAAGTAATTAACCTTTGAAATTCCACATTGATTAATAAAAAAGAAGTTCATTTTAACCATTAAGTAACATTATTAAAGGTTTGATTAGAGCAAAGCCACATTGGGCTCTCTGCTGTGCCCATCACGAGAAGTCATACCCTGATTTTAGCATTGTAAGTCCGTAAACATACTGCTGTCCTACCATGGGACCATTATTAGAGAAAGCATCTGAGGAGGTATAGAAGGCAGTGCACATTTAGGGGCAGTAAGAAATTTTAACTATTTCGTTACAGTTCTGGAGAGAAAGGGTAACAAGAACTCATCATATGAAAGGAAGCATCTGGAAAGGTAGAGAAGGCAGATTAAATACAGAGCAAGGAAGACCTGAACCAATGTACATGTCACTCCACAGTCTAGTGGATGACTTAGACAACATCCAGCTACATGTTGTATTAACATAACTTTAAACCCATCAAGTAAATCAAAACCCTTCATGCAGTCTGACTCCATAGGAAGTGTTAAAAAAAAAGGAGGATGATAAGTAGAGAGACCACACCTGCTACACTATTTCAATACCAGTGTACTTTACAACCTAGAATGGTAACAATTAAATCATTAGACCACTTTATTGCAACAGTTAATATTAACAAGAAACATCTTTTGTTACATCAGTTATTTTCATGCACCAATACTTGTTAAAGAACCTTTAAGTTACACTTAAATGTCATTACTTTGATTGTTTCTTATAAATCCCTCATAAAACAAATTTTTGTATGTGTATAAACTAACCAAAATTTCACAAAATATCTATTTCCATATTTGATTATTCATAAAGTTGTATTTTTGATGAAAAAAAAAATTTCATAATACAAATTATACAGGGTTAAGTATGTTATAATAAAATGACTTTGAATGTGCAAATTAGGAAGGCAAGTGGACACAACCATAGCAGATATAAAGTTGCAGTGGAATGAAATGTATCACATCTACATTTTGGAATTATGTAGTTAATATGATATGACCAAAAAATGACCACTTTCGGAAAGGTTATGCAAAAGCCATTTGTGACATAAAATACACATACACTCAAGTCATCAAGTTGTTTTTGGATCATGGATTTAGACATTCTAACACAGGTATATCCTTTTTACTTAACAGCAATGGAAAGCAAAAGAATAAAGATGAATTATGGCACCAGGACTATCCTGAAAGAGACTTGCAACTAGTCATACCCCAGCCATAGTAAGCAAAATGCAGTATCTTGTAAGAGGTGAAAAACCACAAACACAAAGGTCAGAGGCTAAAGCCATCCACATGCCCCAGGCAATAGTAATCAACGTGTTGTCTGGTTCTTTAGCAGCTTACCCTATTCTAGGAAGTAGGAAACCAGTCAGGAGTGTACATGTTTTCTGGTGCTCTGTCAGCATGTCCTAGTCTAGGAAGTAGGAAACAAGTCAGGAGTGGTACATGTTTTCTGGTTCTCTGTCAGCATGTCCTAGTCTAGGAAGTAGGAAGCCAGTCAGGAGTGTACGTGTTGTCTAGTTGTCTGGCAGCATGTCCTAGCCTAGGAAGTAGGAAACCAGTCAGGAGTGTACATGTTATCTGGTTGTCTGGCAGCATGTCCTAGTCTAGGAAGTAGGAAACCAGTCAGGAGTGTACATGTTGTCTGGTTCTCTGGCAGTATGTCCTAGTCTAGGAAGTTAGAAATCAGTCAGGAGTGTACATGTTGTCTGGTTCTCTGGCAGCATGTCCTAGTCTAGGAAGTAGGAAATCAGTCAGGAGTGTACATGTTGTCTGGTTCTCTGGCAGCATGTCCTAGTCTAGGAAGTTAGAAATCAGTCAGGAGTGTGCATAATGTTTTGTTGATCTCAGTACCAATGACTTTCAGTGAAGTTGACTTTTGATCTTAAGATCAAAAAGAAGATGAGGGTACAGCTTTGTCCTCAGCAGCCACTGATATTTCAACTAAAGAATCAGAACTAACATAACTTAAAAGTCAAGATCATGTGAAACAATACAAAAGACAAAAGTAGAAGTGCCAGCAGATCTAAAGGAACTACAAAAGTACAATTTCTAATTTGGTATCTTTTAACTTTATTAAAGAAAGTTAAACATTTAAAAGATTGTCACAGGCCCTGATGAAGTGTGAAGGATATCAAAGGTGGGAATGATAAGATTTTTTTTTTCACTGTGTTCAGATGTAAGCATATTTCCTGTTAGTGGAAGGGATCCTATTGGATTAAGTAAAGAGTTCATGAAGCACATAATGAATATGAATTGTTGTTGACACAAAGTCACACAATGGTTTATCTTTCCACTGCAATGTATCCAATCCCAGACTTTGGCATTTTAAGAAGGCCGTAAACTTTTCAGACTTCTTATCCACTGGATGACAGCCAGGTACTAAGATCAACAGCAAGCTAATCTAATAGTTACATGTCCATCAATTAGTATAATAACATACTGGAAATGCATACTTCCCATTTCTGAATTTTAATGAATATTCCCAATAATTTAGTGTTCAGTATTTTTTAACATAATCATAATCTGGTAATTAAAAAGTTCAACTGTAAATAGTTTAACTTGTGAAGAAGAAGAGAGTTGATTTACTTTATCTTTCTTACTTTAAAATGAGCAACCAACTGTAATTAGTATTAGATAAACAGTACCTTACCACTAGGTTAAGCAACTTTAAGAAACAATTCTATCAAGTTAGTACAATAAAAACGTTGGTAGAGACATTTTACAATGTAATACAAGTATCACCTGGTACTGAGCCTGAAGGGAGGGCAGAAGAGCCGCACCCACAGTAAGGCTATCAACAATGATGCTGAACTGTATAATGATAGGGTGGATTAAGTGGTGCTCTGGAGCAGCTGTCCTGTAATTACGGTAAGTATCAACCTGAGGCTGTGGAGAATGAGAAATCACCCCAGTACCATAGTCCTCCGCGTGACGGCTAAAAAAAGAGTATCAAAACTAATTCAAGCAGTGTTTTCCTTTATATCACTAAAGATTAAAAGATAACTCTGGGCACAATGAATAGCATTACTCTCAAACTAATAACAATTTGTTTCACAAAAGTAATCAATTATTATAGAAAAATAATGAAGCAGATGTGTGTAAAAATGACACTGTGCAGCATGCCTTTCATTCAACACCAGAATTCATAAACCGGGTTACATTTATGGTAGTTAAAAGCACATCTGAAATAAACTTTGTGTGAAGTAGAAATATTTAAAGCACATTCTTACATTATAATCCCACAGTTTCATGTACGTTTTAATACAGTATTTTGTTACATCACAGGTACAGTACATTTAAAAAAAAATTCTGTATTATTATAACTGATAAGCATTCTCCAAAAAATTGACACAATGAAACATGAAAATCAGATTCTGACATTGTAAGTTTATATTAACTTATGTTATTAAGCATTATTCTATATAATAATTGAGAAAATACTCAAATAAACATACAATGAGTTTGTTAGATGTAATGAGTGCAATGAGTGGGTTTTATTTGGGAACTTGAGACTGGAATGTACTTTTAAGGAAGCTAGTAGTGAAGATGTGCAATCTTTATTTAGAGTTTGTAGGTTGACAGAGATATTGGAGGCAATCATGATTAAAGTAGATGCAATAGATTAAAAGGAAGTGTAAACTGTGGAAAATGGCAGCAGGATTTCAGGAGGAACTTAAGCTTTTACATGCAAGGGATACATCAGCTAACAATGACCTTCAGAAAATTAGAAAGAGTACTATTGGGTAAAGTAGTGATTAGTTATA